AAAAAATTAGCCGGGCATGGTGGCGCATGCCCTGTAGTCTCAGCTACTTGAGAGGCTGAGGCAGGAGGATCGCTTGAGCCCAGGAGTTTGAGGTTGCTGTGAGCTAGGATGACGCCACGGCACTCTAGCCCGGGCAACACAGTGAGACTCTGTCTCAAAAAAAAAAAAAAATAAGGAAGACACAAGAGAGAGAATAAAAAGTATACTTGATCTGCTGGGAAGCTCTAACACGCTGTATTGGAATCCAAAAGGGAGAAGAAACAATCACTTCACAGCAGTCATGACAGGAGGCAGAAGAAAGTGAAACGATTTCACAAAAGTGCTAGAAAACAAACTAACCACCGAAGTAAATTTCTCTACCCGGAGAAAATATCCTTTATTAATGAAAGCAAGAGAAAGAGATTTTTAGATAAGCAAAAGCTGAGAGAGTTCTCCAAGCCCAGGCCCCACTGAAGGAAATGTCACAGGGTGTTTTTTAGGCTGAAGGTCAGTGGCCCTAATGGAGGCTTGGAGATGCAGCCAAGGACGACGGACAAAGACATGCGAGGAGTGTTCCAGGAATCAGCGGGATCTTTCTTCCGGCTAGAACCAGAGATCCATGACGGAAAGTCAGGGGGCATAAGGCTGAAAGACATGTGAACCCAGATCACCAAGGGTCCTAAATGCCAAGCAGGAGGAAGAGGAAAGAGGGACAGGTCCAGAGAAACACCAGAAAGAGAGAAAAAGCTCAATAGTCCAGGACGGAGAAGTTACAAGGAAGGAGAAGGTGGGTGATATCATTAAATATTGCTTAGTCCAGGCAGACGGCAAGTAACAAATGCCCCTGGATTTGGAACTCAAGACGTCGTAGGCAACTTTGCGAAGGTGACCTTCATGAAACGGTGGGCATGAGCTCCGGGTGACACAGAATTCAAGCGTGAGCAGTAGAGGAAGCAGAAGCAGTAGGTGCTTCCACTTGGAAGTCTAACAGAGACCTCGCTCTACTCCAGAACAGAACTTGGTTACTCTCCTCCCGAGCCTGCCTCTTCCCTAGTCTTCCTCAGCTCATAAATGGCCTTACTACATAGCAGCCCAAGCTGAAATATGGGAGTAACCGCTGATTCTTCTCTTTCTTTCGTCCCCTAGGCCCAATCTATCACAAATTCCTGTTGAATCCAGTCCCATGTGTAGTCTGTGTCTGACCGGCCCCATTGCTCCCAGCTTAGTCCAAGTCCAAAGGCACCAGCGTCTCTTCCTTGAAACACAGCAATGACCTCTAATGGAGTAGCAGTGACAGAACGCTTCCATTCTTGCTTCCTTAATCCAGTCTCCGTGGAGTGATCTTTTAGGGGAAAAAAATCAGACCATGTCACTTCCCTGCTTAAAATCCTTCAATGCTCTCCCTTGTGGCCAGAACAAAATTTAAATTCCTGACCACAGCCTTGAAGGCCCTCGGTGGCTCTGCCCTGGTTTGGCTCTTCTCGTCCCGTGTCCTGTGCCCCGCACCCTTCCTCAGCCTCTGCTCTCTGGCTCTCTTCCCATCCCACACACAACACTGTTTCTGCCCCAGAGCCGTTGCCCCAGAAGGTTCTTCTCCCAGGTCTTGCAAAGCTGGGTCCTTCCCGTCATTCAGTTCACAGTGACCTTCTGGAGTAGATCTTGCCTGACCATCCAACATGCAGTAACCTTGCTCACTGAGCGGCTCCACCGCCACATGGCTGTGTTGTGTTTTACCATGGCATTGTCCGTCTGAGATTTCCTTGTGGGGTGACTAACCTGCTTGTTGTCTGCGCCCCGCCCCCCACCCCAGTGTCGATGTGTTAATCCCACCAGCACGGAACTCATTTCCCTCGTGGGAACTGCTGAGACCCCAGTGCCCACTCCTGGACTCTGTCTCCAAACTTAAAGATGAGCAGAGTAAACTGCAGGGGGAGGTGCAGGGTGTTAATAAGAGATGGAAGTAAAGTTGCCTAGTGACACTGCAATCCAGTCGAAGTCAGAGGGCGTGAACTTCCTGCTTTCCTTGACTTCCTCCAGCTACTCCCGACAGCCTGAGAGGAGTGTGGAAATGTAGTCCACAGAGACAAACCCAATTTGGACAGAGCCAAAGGACAAAGGGCTATGATACCGCTGAATGGCTGAGAAAGCAGATCGGAACGAGATCCAGCTGGGTCCCCCCAAGGGCGCTGACGGATGGGGTGGATTCATACATAGGGACCAAGCACCTAAAGTCCAAAACAGCAGGGAAAACCAGTCCCACAAGCACAATGGAAGATGTCACTGCAGGTAAAATGCCGAGTGACCTGAGAGCCTCAACTAGGGGCGGCCCCTCAGCCTTTCTGGGCGGCTGTCTCAGTGGCTCTTCCTCTGGGTATCTCCACCCTTCTGCAATGATCACGTTGGCTAAAGTGACTAGGCACTGAATGCTCAGGGGGCAGATAATATCGAGAAAATTTAATTCTTGAGTGCCTCCAAATTCTCCCTTCTTTCCTTTAGCTAAGGTTTGTTCCCCCATCTCCTTTAACAGGGTTATCAGTGCTCACGACGGAATGGAGGAACAGGCTATGAATGGCAAGCAAGCACTAAATCCCAGTCTGGACTCAGTGACAATGGCGTAATAAAAAGATTATAGGTAATTTTTCCTCCTGAATTATAGAGAAGGGGTGTGGATTCAGCTCAGCTGTCGATGGGGTGGGGGCAGGCTGCCCACCCCTCCTCTCAGGACTATTGCTCAGGAAAAGGGGGGAGGAGTGAAGGGCCTCCGGTTGGGGCTGCAAATAAAAATACAGGATGCACAGGCACATTGAATTTCATATAAACAAAAAATAGTTATTCAGTATATGCTCCCATGTAATATTAGTGTAATTATACTAGAAAATTATTCATTATTTACCTAACATTCAAATGTACCTGCGCATTCTGTATTTAATCTGACAATCCCACTCCCACCTCCAGCACATGCTAGAGGGGACGGCACAGCACTGAGTTCAGCCATTAAACAAAAAAACTTTCCTATGCTGGAAACCAAAATGTCTTGGGGTCATTCTGAATATGAATAATGATGAAGATAAATGTCCTTATGTTTACAATTTAAAGATGAAAGAATTCGATAAGTTGCATATATGTATATATTATATATAACATATGCATACATAAAATATGTACACACATGTACACATAGTTATATATTACATAGGTATATTAGGTTTTGCTTTACAGCTAAGTTACAAATTGCTTTGTGGTTTTACACAATAAAAAGAAATCAAAAGTGCAAGGCTTGAGTTAAAGTAGCTGAGTTTTGTCAGTTGCTCTGGCATGAGTTGTGAGATGTGTGTTTTTAACTTATAAATTTGCACTGATCCCACTTTCCATCATTTTGCCCATCGCGGATCAGGGTTTTGGAGGGGAGACGTGAGCGAGCCGGCCTCTGAAGCAAACCTATTCCTCAGGCCTGTGATGTGTCTAAGTCAGCTTCCCATTTATCACAGCCACTTTCCAAGTAGCCGTAATACAAAATCTCGTGGGCCCGAGAGAGGATAGACACAGAGCATCCCTGAGTCACTATTTATTTTGTTTGAGTGGTGATAAAAACCAGGTCATTCTCAACCACAGAAACACAGACCTGGGCGTATTGAAACATATGTTATGTTCCATTTATATAATTCGTAGAGGCTGTGTTTTCCAAAGCAGAGGAGGGATGGCAAGAACTTCTCTACCCAAGTGAGCATTATGGCCCAATTAATGTCTACAAACCTCAGGAAAAAAGAAATGTCTCAACATTGTAGTTTCTTCCCTTCAGCCTCTCTGTATGAAATTCTTAAAGACCAGCCAATGTCAGCATGCAGTTTAGCTCTAATCACAGCTCTGCAAAGGAGAAAAAAAGAAAAGCCCATAAAAATTCCTTAAGAGCTGATGGACCATGGAGGCTGTTGAGGGGAAGCCTCACACACCTAAAGAAATAGCCCTTAATTTACAATCTGGCTGACAGTTCCAGACTGACACAACACTGAACAATCCGTCTCAGCACACCTAAGCGTCTCATGCCAAAAGATCCTAAGAGGACAGGGCAACTTGGAAGAAACGATACATGGGCCCAGATGGTGCACATCTGGCTAAAAATTACTAAGAGAATGAAATCAACTTCTCGAATCCACAGACAGGTGTTTGGGGCTTCCCAGGAGACCTGCTTATGAAGGGCAACAGGGATGGTTCTGGACTGCTGGTTAGTAAAGGAACAACCAAGGTTCCTGAGAATTGGTACCAGGCAGCAAGAGCCAAACAGGTGGCAACAGTATGGGCTGCTGCCCACCTTCTCTTGACAATGGTACCATTTCAAAGTCATTTAAATTATTTAGATTATTTTAACCAAGACATCTTTAACAATGCACCAAACAGCAGGCACCACGTTGAAATCAATTAGACTCCACCGCTAAATTATAAGAAAGAAATTTACAGGAGAATGGCTCAGGGTTAGGGGCTGTAGGTACATACGCCTGTCAGAGACAATTATATTAGGAACCAAAGGAGGGAGTATTGCCTCGTCATTTAAGCAGCAGAAAAGATGGACATTATTGCCCTAAATTTAGGGCAATAATAAATAAGATGAGGAAGGCCCCCTCTCTGGGCGGTAAGGCTTCAGCGTGGCCAACGGAAAAGATAATGGGGAGAGGAACAAATCTCATTTTGCAGGTTTCCTGTGCAAACAGAAGTCAGCAAGTGGGGCCACAGAGAGCCTCCCGCTGGCAGGACTCTGGTGGCCGGGTAGGGACGTCTGGTATCTGGATGTGCCCTGCCCCGGGGGCACCGCGCGCTTCTTCCCCAGATCCGACTTTAAAGTTTCCCTTCCTAGTTCAAGAAAAGCCCTAGGGTTGGAGCTCAGGCCCGGGTGCGCAGCCTTGCCGCGCGCGGGCCGGTGGGCAGCACGTGGAGGGATCAGAGTTGCCACCCCTCGCGTGGCCACCCGCCAGGCCACTCCGGCGCCGTGTGCCGGCCTCAGCCGCGCGGGGGCGCACCGCGCAGGCGCGCTCCTGCCGGGCGCGGGCAGCTCCGGGCCGCCAGGGGCCGCTGTGGCGCAGCCGGGCCGGCCCGCGCCGCCCGGCTGCGGATCGCCGGGCCCTCTTGGGCACGGCCTTGCCGGTTAGGCGGGGTGAAAGGTTGCGAAGATGGCGACGGCCTTGAGCGAGGAGGAGCTGGACAATGAAGACTATTACTCGTTGCTGAACGTGCGCAGGGAGGTGAGGCCTGCGGTGGGACGCTGTCGGGGCTGATGCCACGCCAGGTCATTCGGGAGGGCCGGGCTGGGGGTGACGGCCCCGCCCCCGCCACAGGCGGCCCGGGCCGGCTGGAGAGGCCGCGTGACCCCGCCGACGTGCACGCCCGCTGGCCGACGGAGCCGTCCCCACTGCCTGGACCCTCCCGCCGTGGGTGCCGGTATCGGCCTCTGCTCCTGCTCTAGGCGGCCGGTGCGCCGCGTGCCCTCTGTCCAGGCAGGGTCGGAGGTCCCCACACCCACAGGAGAAAACAGGGGCTCCCAGGAGGCTACCCGAGTGGGGTTCCCAGTTCCCCGGAACCGCGCTCGGCTCACAATCCCGCCCTGGCTGAGGGTCTGTGTCATCGTTTGCGGTCAGCACTATGGCAAACTGAGTCTTGGGCACCAAGGTCACGGCCACCAGGGAACTTCCCCAAGACTGCCCAGTCCCCGAGCCTTTCGTGGGGACGTCCTGCCTCTGAAGTAAGTCTAGCCACAGAGGCACGCGTCTCCTGCCTGCTGCATTCCCCTGAGCTGCTGTCCAGTAACGTAAGGTAGAGACTTCAAGACATACAGGCTCGACTCGGAGGCCGCAGACTGGGAAGAAGTCCTAGGCCAAGAAAGAAATGCTGCCCTCTCAATGGCTTCAGCATTCATACCAAGTGCTTGTACCTTGTTTCCTCACCAAATAAAGATATTGCACGAGAGTCTCACATAGTTTGGCACATAGCAGGGCCCCAACACATTTCCTGTCTTGATGACTAGTCTGGAGTTGAGATCCGTGTGAAGGTCAGAAAGGCTTCCAAGGTCAGGCCATAAAGTGGATCGTTTATCTCTAACCTGCTGGGTCCAGACTTTTCAGCCATGCCAGAGAATTTCTAATTCCATCTCTCAGGTTTTCCAGTGGTGATCGAAGCTATCCAAGTTTGTCTATCCTAAGCAAAGCTGGTCCAGTGTATGTTGTCAGCAAATATTGGTCTGTATGGTGTTAATAATAACTATTAATAACATTCTTTTGAGTGCTTTGTGCAGGGCCACTGTACTGAACGAACACTTTATGTTGTTGCTTAATTCTCACAACAGCCCTTAAGGTAGGTGTGATAGTCCTTGATTTATAGTTGAAGAAACTGTAGAGAGATAAAGTAACTTGTCTAAAGTCACACCACTAGAATGCGAAAGCCTGAGCGGTCTGACTCAGGAGCCCAGGCTCTTGAGCTGTGTGCTGTTTTCCCACCTTAACTTACCGGTCCTCAGGCTGCAAAGCTGCTGGTTCTGGTACTATATCCTTGGGTACCCCACATAAGAATCTCTCAAATGTGTGAGTCGTTATACCATGAAAACGTCCAGTGAAATATTTTGGAGAATAGGAGATCTCCTGTTAGATCTCCTATTAGGCTGCTGTAGGACAGCTGGGGGACCTTGTTCTCAGTTTGTAGCTAGTCAGCCATGAGGCTTTGGGCAAATCACTTTTTTAGCCTTCAGTCAGTCTCTTTCCCTTTGAATGAAGATGTCTGGCTAGTTGTT